AAATCACTGTGGATGGTGACTGCAGCCATGAAATTAAAAGATGCTTGCTCCTTGGAAGGAAAGTTATGACCAAACTAGACAGTATATTAAAAAGCAGAGACATTACTTTGCCAACGAAGGTCCATCTAGTCAAGGCTATGGTTTTCCCAGTGGTCATGTATGGATGTGAGAGTTGGACTGTAAAGAAAGCTGAGTGCTGAAGAGTTGATGCTTTTGAACTGTGGTGTTGGCGAAAACTCTTGAGAGTCCCTTGGACTGCAAGGAGATCCAACCAGGGCATCCTAAGGGAGATCAGTCCTGGGTGATCTTTGGAAGGACTGATGTTGAAGCTGAAACTCCAATACTTTGGCCACCTGATGTGAAGTGCTGACTCATTTGAGAATACCCCGAATGCTGGGAAGGATTGAGGGCAGGAGGAGAAGGGGACGACAGAGGATGATATGGTTGGATGGCATCACCTACTCAATGGACATGAGTTTGAGTAAACTCCGGGAGTTGGTGATGGACAGGGAGGCCTGGCATGCTGGGGTTCATGGGTTTGCAAAGAGTTGGACATGACTGAGCTACTGAACTGAACTGGTCTGAGTCATCAGGACACTTTCCAGGGTCACGGCCCCTCCTGGTGGTCATGGCAGGACTTACACTTGGAGGTTGCAGGGTGTCTCCATCTAATACCTTGCACAGTCCTCACACGGCTCTGTAAGGGAGGCATCTATTCTCTGCTTCCTCTACCTGGGACTTGCCCAAGATCATCTGTGTGGCAGCTTTGGTGCAGGGCCCTGAAAACTGCCACTGTCTACACTTCCTCCTTGAGTCAAGAACACACTGCTGGACAGGTGAATGCAAGTAATTTAAACACAGCAAAACTGCTCATTGCAGAACTCCACTCAGCGCATCAGAAGGGTCAACAGGAGAGGAGTAGGAAAGACGACAGCTCCTCTCGCCAGACCCCACTCTGGCCTGGGTCATTTGTCACCCTGTCCAGCAGGAGATGGGGCTTCAACCCCGGGGTCCGGAAGATCCCCTGGAGAAGGGAATGGCAACCCATTCCAGTATTCTTGCCTGGAAAATCCCATAGACAGAGGAGTCAGGTGGGATACAGTCCGTGGTGTCACAAAGAGTTGGACATGTGACTGAGTACACACACACGTACCAGTGTGGCCAGAGCTGCATTCTAGGCGGAAGACGGGGACATGGTAAAATCATGTGTGGGGGGGGTGGGGGAAGGAAGGGCTGGGAGTTTGGGGTGAGTAGATGCAAACTGTTATACTAACGTATGGCACAGATGGACAGCAAGGTCCTATTGGATAGCACAGGAACCTGTTCAATATCCTGTGATAAACATGATGGGAAGCAATGTGAAAACAATCTGTTATCTATTTATCTATATCTATAACCAAGTCATTTTGCTGTATAGCAGAAATTAATTGGGCTTCCCTCGTAGCTCCGTCGGTAAAGAATCTGCCTGCAATGCAGGAGGCCCGGGTTCGATTCCTGGGTTGGGAAGATCCCCTGGAGGAGGAAATGGCAACCTACTCCAGTATTCTTGCCTGGAGAATCCCATGGACAGAGGAGCCTGGTGGGCTACAGTCCATGGGGTTGCAAGAGTCAGACATGACATAGTGACTAAACCACCACCAANGTCCATGGGGTTGCAAGAGTCAGACATGACATAGTGACTAAACCACCACCAACAGAAATTAATACAAGAATTAATACAGGAAATTATACAAGTAACTCATCTGTACGCCAACAAAATTTTTTTAAAAATTAAAATAAAATAAGAGATACCATGTATGCAGAGCTCATCTCCTCCACAATTTATGACAAGAAACGTCAGAATCTGGGAGAAGACTAGCTGGACTCCTGTGACTCTGCTAGCTGGCGTTACAGAAAGACCTGGTGGACCTGCTCTTGGAGCAAAGCTTCAGCAGGTCGAAACCCTGCAGAGAGTTCTGGGAGAACAGGGGCATCTCTGGCCTGAGCCTTCATACCAACTGACCAACAAATACCTGCTGGTCACTCTGTGTGCAGAGTAGTAAAAATACATATAATAAAAAGCACAACCTCATTTAGTGTTTGATATGTGTGCTGAGTTTTAAAGGAAAACTTCAGGTTTCAGGTTAAAAAAAGGGCTGGGGCAGATGTTTCAGGCAGAGGGAACAGGATGTGCAAAGGCCCTGGGCAGATCAGGGGACCTAGGTGCTCGGGGTTACTGGGGGTGCAGACCTCACAGAGCTTCAGAGGGGCATGGCCAGTCACCCCATGGAGGGCGATACTCCCCCCTTGTCATTTATGCCCCTGGAGCACCTGAAATAAGCCTGGGCTATCACCTGGCGTGGGGGACTTGTCATCACGGGATGTGGAGGCCATCGGTCTGTGAGCATGGAGTCGAAAACCTTGGCTCACTTGCTAGTTGCTTGAATGGCTGCCGAAGAATTGTTCTATGTTTTACATTTAGGTTTTAATCCTTTTTCATATATATTGGGGATAAACTTATTTTCTTCTAGGTGGATGGTTAATCCTGCAACTAACCCCTCAATTGATGAAGATCAGCCCCCCCACTGACATGCGCCCCTTGTTGTGGGAAGTTTCCATCCCAGCCGGATCCTGTGTGGGCCACTCTGCTTAGTCCAGGGCCAGCCCCGTTTGAGTTCCTGGCTCTGAAGTGTGCTTTACTGTCTGAGAAACAGGCCTCCATTAACACTGGGGTAAGCATACACTCATGACTATATATAAAGCAGATAACCCACGAGGACCTACTATATAGCACACGGAACTAAATTCCGTATAAGGGAATAGGATCCAAAAAGAACACATACGTATTCTTGTGTAACTGAATCACTTTTCTGTACACGCCTAACACAATACTGTAAATTAACTATGAAAGGTTAGTCGCCCAGTCGCGTCTGACTCCTTGTGACCCCACAGACTGTGTGCCCCAGGCCCCTCTGTACATGGGATTCTCCAGGCAAGAGTACTGGGGTGGGTAGCCTTTCCCTTCTCCAGGGGAACTTCCCGACCCAGGGATTGAACTTGAATCTCCTGCATCGCAGGCGGATTCTTTACTGTCTGAGCCACCAGGAAAGCCCCAACTATCCTTCAGTTCAAAGAATGAATATGTATATATATGTATGAATACTTCATTTATTCTCGGAAAAGAATACGCCTCCTCTCTGGGAAGGTCACATGAGATAACTTGCAGACCACGCCGAGCGAAGCACTGGGGATGGATGTGAAGCCCGGGGTGGGGGGGCTCCTCCTTCGGCCAGTGGGACCGCCAAGTGAAATAGTGAACCAGAGGCACACTCCCCTCTCACGCACGTTTCGATGTCCAGAAACTTCCAGAGAGGCTCAGGTTCAGCCAGGTGCCCACAGCTCAGGGTATGAAGTGTGCGGGTGTTTGCACTCCCCAGGTTTACACCGGGAGTGCGGGCGAGGTGCCTGACCGTTCAGGTCCCTGGCCCCGTGCACACCCTGCTGATGGCCACCCGGCCTTTTCCACCGGAAGTTCAGGCAAGCTCTGCTTTGAATTTGCTCTTCGGGTGGGTCTGAGACCTGAGCTGGAGGAGCTTCGCTGGTGCCGCGGGAGTGGCGGTATGCAGGCTTTCAGACCTACGGGCTCTGGACCTCCCTGGGCTTGGGGAAGGGGCAACCGGTACTACCACCTGGGTTTCTGATTCTCTCTCTAATGAGTCATGTTTAGAAAAATCACCATGAAGGAACTATTTCAGCATACATTTAAGAAATTTTTAAGCCCAATGTTTGTTTTAAAAATAAAGAGAGGTTTTGGGGGGAGCTTTAAATGGTTTTATACTTAAAGCCCTAGAATGTAAGAAATTTGCTTTTGAAACAATGAAAGCCATAGAACAACTCAGTGAATTGTGTTGTAAACTGTGAACTTTATATCTGGAAGCAGGACTTATTTTATTATTTGATCCCCATGGTAAAAGGTGCACTGGTCAGGTTGAGCCTTACTGAAGATAATGGAATATTAACTGTGCCAAAAAGCTGCACATTCATGGATTCCGTCAAGCTTCGGAGGCTGAGCAACTTCCAGGACACAATCGTGTCCCCAGGAGGGGCTGGACATGGGGTCCAGGAGCGCGAGGACCGATGTCCTCCTAGCCCTCATTCCCCACGGTCGCGCTCTCCCTCTGCAAAGACGGGGAGGAGGGACCCTGGGGCTTCGGCCTCCGTGGTGGGCAGCTCAGACTTGACCCAGAGCCTGAGTTCCCAGCTCCCTCCTCCACTCCCCAGCCACTCACAAGCAGGAGCCACTTTGTCATCTGCCATTATCTGGCCCTGCCTCTCACCTGCTGCCCCCAACCTGCGGCCACTCACTGCTCTAGCATCATCAGGCGGGGAGGAGGCAGCAGGCGGCGGCAGGAGGTGTGTGGCGGTGGATGGTCAGGGAAGGTGTAATGAAGAGAAACGAGGCGCTTCTGGCACCACCGAGCTTGCAGATCAAGCTGAGTGGAGCCATTCCCGCCAGCTTCCCTGTCCCCGTCTCCGTCTCCTAGGTAACCGAGACCTGGCTCCACGCACAGCTTCACATGATGGAAGCTGCTTCCTCATCTCAATGCAGACTATGGGAAGTTTGGGTTCGTAAGAAATCTACCAGGAAAGATCAGTGAGAATCAGAGATGATGGACGTAGGCATCCTTGAGTAGTGGCCGGGGGAGCGGGGTTACCTTGCAGGAAGTCTTCTCTCCCAGGAATGGAGGCAGCGTGACTCTGTGGGCAGGACACAGGCCCACAGTCAGGTCTCTCTGCTCTGGTCCGGGTCCTCCCCAGCCTGCGACTGTGGCGAAGTCACTTAATTTCTCTGTGCCTCGATTTCTCCATCTACAAAACAGGGACCACACAGTAAAGCACCTAGTGACTTCATGATGACACCAAGAGGGCACATGAAGAGAGAATGTGCCCCCTGCAGTCACCACGGACCCTCCAGCTTCCCCAGGGACTGTGTCTGCTGTCCTGTCGATGGACAATGTGGTCCCCGAGAGAAGCGTCCTTCTGGACGTGGGGCTGCTGCTTAGACTCTGAGACAGGGTCCCCCTGGGCTGTCTGGGAAGACTTATTCCCTGCTAGCCAAGTCATCTGTGCAGGCTGGGGGACATTCTGCCCAACTGAGAAGGTTCTAGAACTCCTGGTCCAGGGGACCAGCACCCAGCCCTCCAGGCGTCCTTACTGGATTCTCCTCTCCATGTCTGGGCAGGAGCAGCCCCTGGCACACATCAGGGTCATTCCCTCAGAGTGACTCCTGTTAATTTAGTCTGTGGCTTCTCCAGGGGGCTCAGGGCTATCAGACAAGGCTGTGGAGCCAGGGGACGACAGTCAGCACCACTTTCTTGTCCATTACATCATTTACACATCAACCAAATGACCTTAACTTTCTGAGTGAAGAAATCCACACTCAGAGAGGTTGAGACACTTTCTCAAAGCTCTGCCGTTAGCTGTTGGGAGAGCCATGGAGAATCTGCACACTCTTGCTTGAAGATCTAGAGCTGTCCCGGGCTGCCAGGTGTTCACACCGTCCCCCCACCCCCACCAGGCAAGGACTGTCCCAGGGCTTCCGCGTGTTCACACCGTCCCCCCTCACCCACCAGGCAAGGACTGTCCCGGGCTGCCGGGTGTTCACACCATACCCCCCTCCCCCACCAGGGGAAGAACTGGAGAGTCAAGACCAGGACCGGGAATCTGAGTGCCAGGGTCCCAGATGAACCTTTGGGTGGTGACTTTCACCGGAAAGTGTTTCACCCCAGCAGCTCCTGTGGACACCCCCTTGTACTGGTTCGTCATTCCAAAGGGCTCACTGCCGCTCACTCCTGTTTTATAGCGACTGAAAACCTCTCGGCACACTAACCAGTTTGTCATAGACAATAGCAAAATTCTCAAGTGAGACGTCAACTAGCTTTGTAATTCCTGGTTTGAACAATAGGCAACCAGGTAGTTGAGTCAAATAAGAGAGTCAGAGGCGTTTGGGTCACTGTCCTTGGAACTCAGCCATCCTTCCTGTTAGCTGGGAGCCGTTGCCCCATCTGCCTCCGTTGACCTTAGGGCTGAGCCGTAAATCCTCCCCTTTTACACTTAATCTTCCCAAGGCTTGATTTCATCACATGGACAAGGACTAAGAGTCTGCACCTGCGTGTCTTGCCAAGAACACAAGGACGCCGACCGCAGAGGACTTAAACTCATAAATTCCCAGAAAGAGAAAGGAATTAGACGAGATTTGTCTTCCTTCTTTTCGACTTCGCCATTTAGAACAAAAGAACATCCCGCACCTCCTCTTTGGAATACCTTTCCCCAAGCTCTCCTGCTTCACCATCTCAAGGCTCAGCCCTTGGGTCCCCAAGACTCTGGAGCAGCCAAATCGCTCGTGTTTGTCTTGAGTGCTGCACCCGGGGCTGGTTAACACGGCTTTGTTGACAAAGAAAAGAAAAAGGAAGCGAGAGACAACAAAAGGAAGATAGTGCTCCTGTGGGCCTGTGCAGGAGGAATTCCAAACCCAACCGAGCAGACTGTGTTATACAAGTGACCAGTAATGTTTAATGGTTAAAGGATTTGAAGTCAGATGGACTTGGCTCACAAAAGCACTACCACTTCTTCATAATCTGAACTCACCCACACCCACCCCTGTGGTCATGGCCCAGTCAGGCGTCCTTCCCAGGTGCCGCCAGGATTCAGAACCGAACCGGTTCCCTCTTTGCGGAAGCCAAGCTTGTTTTTTTTTCTTTTCTTTAACATTAAAAGTCAACGGCATCGCTTCTTGGTCTTCTCCCCAAGATCAAGTGTAAAAGTCAGTGGCAGACATTCCCTCTGGGACATTTATTTTAGGAGATCAGAGTCTCAGAGTGATTATTATTATTATTTTTGCTTTTGAAAAACATGCATCCTAAGCGTCTGCACTGAGCACGTGCAAGGAGACCCAGCTCCCAGAGGGGCTCTCAAGGCCCCGCCTGCCCCTCACCCTCTGGACGCCAGGCCGGGGCGAGGCGGCTCCCTGGGCTTCTGCTCCCCCTCGCTGACACCGCACGGGCATCCTGCCCTTGCCCTCGCCCTCACTCCGGGCGTGCGGGCCACGGAGGAAACCTGTTCTCCGCTCCTCTCCTCAGCACTCACACACACCACGTGAAGCCCGCTGGCTGCTGAGAAAGTGCTTCTTCCTTCTTCTGCAACTTCTCCTGCTCTGTTTTCTTTACTCTGTGTGTGTGTTTAAATGTCTACTAATGCACTGAATTGTCACATGTATCCTCCCGACAGGGCTTTCCCAGTAGCCCAGCGGTAAAGAATTCACCTGCAAGCAGGAGACCCAGGTTCGATCCCTGGGTCGGGAAGATCCCCTGGAGGAGGGCTTAGCAACCCCCTCCAGTATTCTTGCCTGGAAAATCCCATGGACAGAGAAGCCTGGAGGGCTTCAGTCCATGGGGTCACAAAGAAATGGACAGGACTGAAGTGACTTAGCACGTAGCACTCACGCATCCTGCTGATAAGTAGATCTTATTATGCTTGGCTTTTTCTTTTTCTTTTTTTCATTCTTTATCTTTCTTCTCCATCTTTCAGAAAGTTTTTCCAAATATATCTTTCAGTTCTTCAGCTGCATTTTAAAATTTCAAGAGTCCTATTTTATATGCCCAAATTGGCTTTTGTCTCAGTTACATGTTTGCATTTATTTTAGTTATTGTTTGTCTTTGCAAGAGGACCATCTCTCTTCTCAGACGCAGTCCCTGTCCCCCCCCCTCCCCCCGAGTGAAGCGAGGGTAGTCCCACCGCCAGGTGGGCTCAGGGGTCCTCACTGTGCTCCCCCGGCATCTCATGATCCTTTTTACCCCAGAACTTACATCATATATTCACTCATCTCATTCATGTCTTCTCCTTTGTGCCTTTTCTTATTTCTGACAAAAAATACATTATCACTTGGTACTGTAACAGTTTGCTTTCTCATCTGTTTGAAGTGGTACCAAACCCTGCTTTCATATTTTGGGCATTTATAGAAAACAGTGCACCGAGGACATTTAACGCCCCTGCTTCTCAACAGTCCTTTGAAGGAGCCTCTTCAGTCCCTTCTGCTGATGAGGCTCCACCCAGACAAGGTCGGAGCAGCCCTGTGGGGACCTCAGCATCAGTGTGGTCACCGCAGTCCAACCAGGCCGGACGAGAGGAAGAATTACAAAATGGCCACGAGGGTGGTGATACGGATGCACCGCACATCCTTCCATGAGACCAACTGAGAAAGAAGCGTTCGCACTTACTGTGGTTCAGCTGGAGCCTGGTGAGGATTAAGTGACTTGATCCCCCAGAAACTAGGTGTGGGGAGCGTGTCCCGTCAGGTGTCCATCGGGTGCTGGGGACAGCAGGGACAGAGCCTGCCAGCATCACTGCTCAGGGCACCCCAGCAGGATAGACCATCAAACCCTGGGTGGGCAGGATGTTGGAGCAGGGAGGAGGTTGGGGACAGAGCTGGGGACGGAGTGAGGGGCGGGGGTGGGCAGGGCCCTCCGGGAGGCGGCCGGGAGGCCCCCCCGGGACCTTGGACAAACCAGGGGACTGCCCCTCCTTCCTGTCAAGCCCAACCCAAGCCGGATGGGAACTGAGCAGGAGGAAGCTCGCCACCCACTCTGGGCCTGCCTGCCCCCTCGGGACACCCAGCAGGGCGACGGCTCAAGGCACAGGATTCTGCAGAAGTCAAGGGGATCTGGGACCTCACAGGACAGTTGCTGCAGCTGCTGATGGCCAGGCGACCTCTGGGGGTGGGGGGGCGCCTTACGTGCAGACAGAGTTTAAAGACAAGAGAAGGAAAATGACTTGAGAGTCAAGAGTGAGAAGCAGGCCTGCTGGATAACAAGGTAGGATGGACCTATGCTCATGTTACTATTTAGTTACTTATTGATACAATATAAAAACTTGCAGCCACACAGGACCAGCCGTGGTGTGCATCCCACGTTTCTGATTCCCCCCGAGTCAGTCTCAGCTCTGACGTTCAGACACTGAGCAGCCAGGTTACCTCGGGTTAGGGCAGCCCCTACCTGTCTGGGTGTGGATTTCAGGACACAGATGGCAATTATGCAGCATTTACCTGCTTAAATGATCTGAAGAGGGTGCTGATAAAGAGTCCACAGGCCCCCGGCAGCTGACACCTGCCCCTTTGAGGAGCAGGTGGGCATCACCTGGGGTCGAGCCGAGTCCGTGTCCTGGAGGAAGACCAGCAGCTGCTGTTCCCCTCCGAGGCCCCAGGACTCAGCGCGAAGTCACCGTGGGAGCACCCCTGAGGCTTCTCATCCCCGAGGGTTCTCTCCCCCGAGCACAGCTGACACAGGTCGCATCTCCTTCAGCCCACTCCCCACCTTCTCCTCCTGGCAGGTGTCCCCCGGGACGGTGGATATGAGAGAGCAGCCTAATTCCCGGCAACATGGAAGGCGGTGCGGTTTCTCACCCATCCTCTTTCCAGAGCGAGCGGGGAAAGCTAGTCGGGTTTTGTCAAGCAGCCTCAGGTTCCGCCTTGATCAGCGGCCCACCAGGCCTGAGGTCTGTGGACCCTGCCACTCCGAGTCCCGGGTTCTCTTCCTGACTTGGGTCCAATTCCTGTCCACTAGGTGGTGGGAAATTCAACGAGGTGGCGGCTAAGATGCCCAGCACCAGACCCACGTGGGACCGGCTTCCTGGGCTGTGGAATCGCCACCATCAGCATCGAGGTCTGTCAATGTCTCACTCAGCCTGACTGCCAGGGTTGAGTTGGGTCTCACAAGGTCGTGGGTGAAAGTCCTAGTCGTAGGACCTGGGAACATGGCCTTGACTGTAACCAGAGCCTCCGCAGATCAAGTGGGGGTGAGGGCACACAGGATAGGGTGGGCCCACTCCAGCGTCACAGGTGTTCTGACAAAAAGGGGAACCTGGACACAGCCATGCCGACAGGGAGAGCGTCTTGTGACGGTTACTCGGGGCTCTGGTGATGCATCTATAAGCCAAGCACACTGAAGGTCTTCAGCAAAGCCCCAGAGGCGGGGGGAGGGGCCTGGGGCACCCCCCCTCCCCACGACCTCGGAAGGAACCAGCCAAGCCTGAGCTTGGGTCCTGGGTGCGAGTCCCTCCTCCAAACCGTGAGACACTGACTATGTTGTTTAGGCAGGCTCAGGGCCGCCCCAGCCGCCGTGCATAGGCACGGGTCTCCTTGCTCTGCCCCTGGGAGGCTGGGGCCCTGGGAGGCCCCGCCCCTTGGAGCCCCGCCCCTTGGAGGCCCCNTTTTGTTCTATCCGCGGAACTGGAAATCAGATGTTAAACCCTAATGCAGAACGCAGCTCACCACGGTGCCCAGTGAGGTCTGGGCACTGCCCCTGTCTTAAAGCCCCAGGTGTGAGAAGACATGCCCCTCACCCGCAGCCGGCTTCCCCATCTCTCTCTGAGGCTCTGCCAGTCTTTGTCCTAATCAGGCACATAATTGATTGGTTTAGATTTTTGTTTTGCTTCTTGTATCTTGCTCTGAATATCAGGTTTGAATATAATTGCCATAGGTCACACTGCCTTTTCAAAAAACCTATCCTGTATGCAGGTTTGGGACCTGGGGTGACAGGAATGTTGTATGTAAATGTATGTAAATGGATGCTCACGCCCCATGGCAGCCGCAGGTGAGTCAGGTGGCTGTCACGGCCTCACAGGTCAGCCCACCCAGAGCCCCCAGAGCTGCCAGCTCAGACGGCTGCTGCATATTTATGTACCCGTTGAAAACAATCCGATAGCTATTTTCAAGAGATCTCAAAATTCCCCCAGTCTGTTCCCCTTGATGAGAAAAATCATGCTGCTGATCTTCCAAGTTATCTATGCCTTCTTTTATGTAGAAAGCAGATTGGATGTCTCTTACATGTGCTGAGTTTTAAGGTGGTTTCAATTCAGTAGATACCACAGGCACTTTTCAGTGTGAACACTGCACATGTAAGAGACATCCAGTCTGCTTTCTACATAAAAGAAGGCATAGATAACTTGGAAGATCAGCAGCATGATTTTTCTCATCAAGGGGAACAGACTGGGGGAATTTTGAGATCTCTTGAAAACAGCTATCGGATTGTTTTCAACGGGTACATAAATATGCAGCAGCCGTCTGAGCTGGCAGCTCTGGGGGCTCTGGGTGGGCTGACCTGTGAGGCCGTGACAGCCACCTGACTCACCTGCGGCTGCCATGGGGCGTGAGCATCCATTTACATACATTTACATACAACATTCCTGTCACCCCAGGTCCCAAACCTGCATACAGGATAGGTTTTTTGAAAAGGCAGTGTGACCTATGGCAATTATATTCAAACCTGATATTCAGAGCAAGATACAAGAAGCAAAACAAAAATCTAAACCAATCAATTATGTGCCTGATTAGGACAAAGACTGGCAGAGCCTCAGAGAGAGATGGGGAAGCCGGCTGCGGGTGAGGGGCATGTCTTCTCACACCTGGGGCTTTAAGACAGGGGCAGTGCCCAGACCTCACTGGGCACCGTGGTGAGCTGCGTTCTGCATTAGGGTTTAACATCTGATTTCCAGTTCCGCGGATAGAACAAAACCAGGCCAGTCCCAGTGTCCATTCCCGCCACACGTGACCTCTGTCAGTCTGAACCAGCCTTTCTGCAGGCTCCTTGTGGGTGAGAGTCAGATCACGTCTGTGTCCTCTGCGGCTTACCTGACCAGGTCAGAGGAGGGTTGGGTGGGTTTCTGGGGGCCGTGCTGATCTCGGACCCCGCATCCCACCTGCCCTGGTGGAGGGGGTGGCCGGAGGGGCTGGGAGGAAAGCATTGGGAGGGGTTGGGGGAGCAAGTACATGTGAGCCCCCCCGGGTGATTTCTCACAGCCCACCAAAAATGCTGGCCTATCTGAAAATGCAGCTTCTCACTAGACTGCTGCGGCTGCTTGCGGAGGTCCATCTTCCAGCCCCGGGTCAGGGGCCACGGTCGGGCATTGCTGATCATGGAGGTCAGCCTTCCTGACCGTAGACCGGGAGGTGGGGGGGGCCTCTGGGTTCCATGGTGGCCTCCGTGTCGGCCCTGCTGCTGCGGGGGGGGGGTCACTGGCCGTCCCCTGTCCCCCACAAGGCCACCCAGAGGAGAGGCGCACACGGCTGCCCGTGCGGCTCCCGGCCGAGCCCTGGGAAGGCCGCTGAGGAAGCCAGCACCCCGCTCCCCGAGGAAGGGCCGAGTCAGCCCGCGGGGGCTTGCTCTTGAAGGGTGAGTGGTTCCCGCTGAGCAGGGATGGTCAGGCCACAAGCAGGTGAGACGGGGACCCGGAGGGGGGGCGCGTGCTGGGAACCCACATGCGGGCGAGCTCCCCTCCACGTCGCCGGGAAGCAGTCAGAAATTCGGTTGGAAAGGCCAGAAGCTACCTGCCAGCTGGCCGAACACGCTGCTAAGAGGGTCTACTAAGTAGGCTTCTGTGAACTGCATCAGCTTATTAAACGGCGCTGCTAACATCGCATGACAGAAAGCAGCAGTCGGATACGAGCTGACTGTGTTCGTATATCAGGGATGCAAATTAAGAGTGTAATGTACAGGAAAGATTCCATTTAATCACCAGCAACACCCTTCAGAGGCTGGCTTAACACTGCCAAGACAACCAAGGGTCCAGACTGGCCAGCCCAGAGCTCCCGTTCGCGGTGCAGACGGCCCGAGGAGACGCAGCGGGCAGCTGCGTCTGCAGCTGTGGATCTGATGCGGCCGGGATGAGAGGCCATGTCAGTGGCCCGAGGCTCCTGGAGGGGCTCACGATGCGGCCGGGATGAGAGGCCGTGTCAGTGGCCCGAGGCTCCTGGAGGGGCTCACGCAGCCCCGAGACGACTGGTGGTCCGTCTAGGGCAGTCTGGAGTCAGGGATCCCTTCTGAGAGGAGGGCGATTAAATGGATTAAAAAAAATTTTTTTTTGAGCAAGTCCTTTTGAACATCAGTTTCCTATCTGTAAAATGGACATTTTTTGGAAAGTTTTTTTCAGCTCTAATATTTTAGAATTTTTGAAAAAGCTTCTAGGTATTCGACAGCTCAGAGTGAAGGACCCTGTTCTAAACGTACCAGAAGGCAAAAGGTGATTTTTGTAAAGATGTGTAATCACCCAAGGCAATCGTTTCCACTTAAGACTAAAGTGACGGTAAGTTACGTGAATGCCTGGCTGACACACACTTGATCACGTCCACACCACAGTTGTGCACACGGGCACACACGCGTGAGTGTGTTACAGCCTCACGTAACAGGCGCACCGTGCTTGGTTCGATGTGTTAGAATTACCTTCCTGTGCGTGAGATAATCTAGGTTGTATTTGATTAAAAATGGATCTAATAAATTATTTTCAAAACTGCCAACTGAAAAATTGCACATAATTTAGAAAATTAGTGGCATCTGACAATTGCCGATGTGTCAGTGTATCTTGACCAAACACCTATTTCTAGGTGTGAGACAACACAAAAGTAAATGCACAAAATCACACCATGACTTACTAACTGCTCATCTAACATTTATCCATGCTTATTTGCATATTCCATAATTTGTTTAAGTTACCTCTTCCCTTCTGAGGCAGGATACCAAGCACAGATCACCTTCTGGTGGAGTGCCAGGTACAATGTATGATTCAGTATGTCTTAAAATCTCCAGATTCATATTTTGTTTCTAACCTCT